GGAGGCTGAGGCAGTAGGATCACTTGAGCCCAGGAGTCTGAAGTTGCTGTGAGCTAGGCTAACGCCACGGCACTCACTCTAGGCAGGGCAACAGAGTGAGACTCTGTCTCAAAAAAACAAAAAATAAACAAACAAAAAAAAAACCTTCATGCTTCAGGAAGGACCCCAATGAATCACCCCGATATAAGTAACAGTTCTTCACCAGTGCATCGGTGCGCGGTGTGTTTAACCCTGTTAGATCATCCTCTCATCGCTCTTAATATGAATAAACCCCAGACCTGTAAAGAGTAAGAGTCACCGAGTTTCCTTTCAAGTGCCAAGGGGAACACAAACTCCCACTAGATCTCGTTCAACCTAGAAATGCCTCAAGGTCAGGCTTGAACCATCTCTAGGTGACATCAAATCCACTGGCAACAACGTCAGAGTAGTTTAGAGTTAAGCACAGTAGCTAAGAGCTTGGACAACGCTGGGGAATAAGGTAACTGTGTGATTTTAGGCAAAATGTTCAATCTCTTGATCCTAGCTGTCCTCATCTGTAGACTAAGAACAATATCAGCACCTACTTCCTGGGGCTGTTGAGAGCCGGTGAGATGTTTTTAAGGCCTGGATAGACTAGGGGTTCAAGAATTGTCAGTTTTCATTATTACTGAATACTGGTGAGAGGATGACTACATCCAGGAAGGCTGAGGTCCCTCCAGAAGGAAGGCCAATCTTATTTAAGTGAGTGTTTCTGCTTGGCAGGACTCCTCAACAGTTCAGCAGAAACTCCTGATCAGATTCTCCTAGGGCAGGATCTGGATTCCAGTCTCCTGGTGTCTGCACCAAAGTTCTTAACCATCAGGAAGTATCAGAATCACTGAGAGCTTGTTTACAATGCATATTCTTGGGGTTCTCCCTCCAAAAATCTATTCTAGGTTTGGGGTGAGGCGTGGGACTGGGTATGTTTAACGAACGCCCCAGGTAATTTTCTCTAGAGTCTGAAACACTGCCCTAAACCAGCAATAGGCAGACTTTTACAGTAAACAGCCAGAGAGAATACTTTTGGCTTTGTGGGCCAGAAATCTGTTTATAACTACTCAACTCTGCTCTTGCGGTACACACAAAAAGCCATAGATTCATCAATGAATGGGTGTGGCTGCGTTCCAATAAAATCTTATTTTACAAAAATAGGTGGTGGGTCAGATTCGGCCCATGGACTGCAGTCTGGCAGCCCTGCTCTCTTCTATATTTAACCAAGAAAGAAAGAAAGACACAGAGATGCGTGTATAAAAAAGTGATTATTTTTTTAATTTAAAATTATGACCTGGAAAGAACTAGTCAGTTGAAGTGATCCAGGCTTTCTCTTTATACCCAAATGGAACAAACACAATATTGGCTCAGATTTCCAACCCCAGAGAAAAACCAAACCAAGTCCCAAATCCTTGGGAAGTCCCTGCAGCTCCACGACTGGGGCCATTAGGCTCCAGGCCTGATGCTCTCCAGCCGGGCTGAGAAGGGCTTTCCTTCCACCAGCAGCTCCCTCGCTGGGCCTGGTCCCTCTCCATGCCCCTGGTGCTGGCACTGCGCGTGTGCCTCCGCAGAGAGGTCAAATGTACGGCAGTCACCTCTCAACCGTCTTTGGGGCATCTTCCTGTGATCGCAATAGCAGAGCTGAGGAAGCCTAAACATTCGTGCCGAGAAGGGCAGCATCTTCACTTGTCTAGCTGAGATCTGGAGCCTCAAGTTGTAACCATCGGTCACGTGTGGCCAAGGCACCGGCAGCAAAACAGCGAACTTGGGAAACGATCTGGGGAGATGCAAGTGTCTCAGTGGTCAATGGTGAGTCTGAAAATGAAACAGACAAATGCCACCTGGGTAAAATCCTCACAAACGCCGCAGGGGAGAAACGTAAAGACGAACATGGAACAGCACCTCCTGCAGCACTCCAAGGCTCTTTCTGCTCCTCCCCGAGCACAGAATCCAAAGGGTCCCACTTCTTAGGTCAGCTTCGCCTCTCCCACCTCCTACTTTCAGGGTCAATCCTGGCTTCAGATTCACGCAGCCATGAGAGGGAGTCTTACAAGAACACGAGGCACTGAATAACGTGCAAGGGAGAAGAGTCCAGGCTGTGATGTTCAGCAGGGCTTTTTTGCACTGAATTTTGGAAATGTGGAGTCAGCACAGGGAGGAAGCAGGAAGGGTGTGGCCAGCGAGCTGCCCTCCTGGAGGCCCTCCCAGGAGGGGTTCACGTACAGAATAAATACAACCGGCTTGCAGAAAGCCTTCTGGAAAAAGCCAACAGGTCACCTTAGACCCCCTGTGGTGGGACTACAAGCTTCCACACTGGGTTGCCTTCTCTCAAATTTATGGCACCCAAAGCATGACCTGAGTCAAAAGCTCTAGGGGCAAACCACCAAAGGGCTGCCCAGAGAAGCCGTGGAAGACCAGAGAGTGGCCAAACCATCCCCACCACACACAGCATTCCTGCGCCAGGTTGGCTGCATACCAAGTGTATTGCGGAGGCATCCCAGGGCATTAACAAAGGCCCGTGCTGTGCCTGGGGTGCGGTCGGGGGAGAACACAGCAGTCATTAGAGTCCCCTGAGAACTGAGGCACAGTGAGAAGGAGAGAAAGGTAGAGTTTCCTCCTCAGGCTCAGTCGTGCTGCCTCCCAAGGGAGGAAGATATTATTGCCCAACTGCCAGCTCCACTGACATTATCTGACTCAAACAGATGGCACCTGGGGGGTCAGCTCAGCACAGATCCCAGCTATGAGACGGCCGCCAGTGAGAGCCGGTTGTTCCTTACAGTCGTCCTAGACCGAGTCTGGGTCATGTCAGAAGCCCTGGCTCATGACAACACATGTCCCGTCACACGCACATGGGACCCTAGCTAACCAATCTTCTGTATCTTAGCAAGGCAACTCAAGTGGTGGGGGGAAGAGAGGTGTCTCAGGAGCCTAACAAGTTCCTCTTCCCAGTGTCCTTCTCAGAAGCAGTGGACCCCTAAATCCTTGTCAAAGAGGGAGCTGTCCACGCGGCTGACCTAAGGCCAATCACAGAACCCACTTACAAGACCGCGGAGGTTTCGTCCAATCACGGCAGAAGGTTAACTCCATCCCTGCCCTCACTGGATGATGCTGTCCGGCTGCCCGTTCTGGGCCACCTGTCCAGGCTCAGAGGCAGGAGCTGGGGTGGGTGTGTTGCTCTGCAGGTAGCGGCGGAAATCTTTGATCATGGGCCGCAGGACCTGGATGAGGACACTCAAGGCCGCCTGGGTACCCTCCATGGCCTGGGCCTGGCGCTCCTGGGCACAGGCCTGTACCTCCTGGGAGCGGCGGATCATCTGCAGGAGGTCGTTCTGCTGCTCCAGGTGCTGGGCAATCTCCTTCACATGCAGGTTGGTGACCCGCTGCTCCTGTATCAGCTTGGCAGAGTTGAGGGCAATACGGCTCTTGAGTGCCTGCGGCTTGACGGATGCGTCTGTGTGCTGGGCCATCATCTCCACGGGGGCCTCGGCCGGCAGGGGCGGGGGGGCCTCGGCCGTGCAGTACTCCACCACTCCCTCCTCCAGCGTGTGATAGGCTGTCTCAGTGGGGACTGCAGGAAAGAAAGAACAAGGGCCCAAGGGCTGATGCAGGTCAACTTTCTGGAAGGAATGAAGCTGGCTATGTAGGATGGAGAGGAAGCTGTCAAGCCCTGTCCTGGAGGGAGATAAAGAGGAATTCAGGCCTCCCCTGGCTATATAGCTATTCAGGTATAAAATCTAGAATCTAAGGGGTTCAGAACCTTAATCTACTTAGCAACCAAAGGGCCAGCCCCAGATCTGGCAAAAGCAAAGATGCTAATAATAATACTAGCAAGAATTTTAGAGCATCTTCTGTGCACCAGGCACTTTGTACTCATTAGCTTGATGAATCCTCATAATGACACCAAGAGGTAGGTACTGTCATCTTCATTTTCAGAGACGGGGAAACAGACTGGAAACATGGAGTGACCTGCCTAAGGTCACAGGGCTCATTCAGCAGAATCAGGTCTCCCTAACACCAGAGCCTGAAGTGCTCATAACCATTCCACTGGGCTGCTTCTAGCTAAGAAAGGCACCTCAGAAGCAGGTCACAAGCTCCCTGTAATCTGTAATGCCAGCACAAAGCAGGCATCTTGGGTGGGACTCTACACAAGCAATTTGCAGCCCCAGGAGTCCTACCTTCTTTGATGCTTTCTTGACTTCCACATCCCCTGTGGCCAAGCAGAAAAGGAGGCAGGAGTAGGGCAGCAGCAGCTAAAGTGCCCAAGAAATGTCTCCCTGTCTCTTTGACCACGTTGGACAATGGGACACCTACACATCCTTCCTGTTCCAGAACAGCATCTGACTTAGGCCCGTGTTTGCTCCCATTCTCCCACCTCGATATATATTGAATGGCACCCACCCATACACCCAAATCCCCCAAGCCCCACAAGAGTCACTGAATGATCCAGTTCACAGTCATCACAAACGAGCAGAGGCAGCAGTCATTGGCACAAACCTTTCTCTGAACTAAAAAGTCCAAACTTAGTTCTGTTGTCATTCATAGCTGAGAACTTTTGAAGGGATCCTAGGTGGCTTGTTTGGGCCTCCATGCACGTGGGAGACGCCAGTCTTCACCCTTCAGTGCCCACCAGGAAGCCCCCCTTCCTCTTCTGAGTCCTTAGGTTTTCCCAACTGATAGTGACATATTCATATATGTATCTTATCTGTCCTACTGGAACATAACTGGCCTATAATTTAGACAATTTGGTAATCCCAGTGCCCAGCACAGGGTTTGGCACGGAATAAGTGCTAGTGTTTGATGAATGAATGACTGAATGAATGAGGAGATTAACACCAGGAAGCATAAGGTTCCCGAGCACTGCCTGATGAATGTTTGTTGCACTGAAAACACAGAAAGTCTTTGTCCAGAATTGTTGTCTCACTTGGGCATTATTATTCCCATCTATCTATTCAACAGATATGTCCTGTGGGGACACAGACATGGTCTCTGTCTTCAAGGACCACACGGTTCAGCAAGTGGAGGTAAGTCATGGACAAACACGGTGGCAACACAGAGTAGAGAGCTATCCAGCTGTCAGAGTCCAGACCACGTGCTGAGGAAGTCCCAAAGAGAACAAGATCACTTCTATCTGGGGCACTCTTGGAAGGACTCATGGTCTTCCAAGACCCTCATCTGACCTTTGACCCTTGGCAGCCAACCTTCCCCAGGCCACCCCAGAGCTTGCTGGCCCTTCCCATTTATGCACGCTGACTGGGCAGGAGATGTCACTCACTTTGTGTCAGGGTGACCGTGGCTGCGGCTGCAGTGGCCGTGGGTCCAAGGGCCACGGGGTGGATCTCTGTGGTACTGGGCAGGCTGATGATGGTGGCCTCGCCCAGCAGGTTGCAGATGCGTTGTTGCATGGGGGTCAGCAGTACAGGGGCTACAGCTGGGCCACTGCCACCACTGCCACCGCCTGTCCCAGGCCCACCAGCTCCATCCTCCTCAGTGGGCCCCGGCGCCTCGCCACCCTCCACGGCGGCCCGGACCTGGGCAACCTTGCGACGGACCTCAGTCTTGAGGTCAGACCACTTCTTCTTGACCTCAGGCAGCTCCCTGCGGCAGGTGGCCACGGCGTTGACCCTTCTCAGGATGCCGTGCCAGGCTGCGCTCTTGGCGGCCAACGGGACCCCGGCATTGAAGTGGTTCACCAGCAGGTGCTTCTTGAGCTCCAGCTCCTCCACGATGATCTCCACCTCCCGCTCGGAGAAGTTCATCTTCCTCTTCTTGGCTGGGACGGCCATGGCCTCTCCCCTCCACTCTTTTTAAAGAAATTATAACCCCCTCAACCACCCCAATTCCCCCTCTCTTCTTTCTCAACCTCACCCCTCACCCACCCCCTACAGGGGATAGGCCGGGCTTGCTTAAGGCCAAGCACCAGGCCTTTGGTAATCCCCCTCGCTACGCAAAGTGCGTAGGGCCCAGCCTCGACCGGCCCGGCCGCTGCCAGCCAGCTGCGTAATGGCTTCCTGAATCTGCCTCTTCCGCCGGGGTGTGCGGAGATCCGCCCACCCACCCTCTTCCCGCCCCCCAGAGCTTCTCCAGGAGAACCCGCCTTCCCGGTTGGTCGTGGCTCAAATATCACGTCGATCACTGGTTCTCTCGGTCTGCCGCTCAGCTAAGGAGCACGCCTACTTATTGGAGTTCACGTGACCATTGGCCTAAAGGTGTGTCTGTCATTCCAGAGCGCTCCGCCTACCCAGCCTTTATTCGCCTCCATTGGAAAATCATTCTGTCGTTCAATTATCAGTATTACGACTATTACGCCGTTAAATTCAACTATTTTATCGGTGGTTTAGGGCGTTAAACTACCAAAACCCTGCTTCCCGAGGATACTTAGTGCTTTCGGCCTTGAGCCGTTGGCCAATTAATTTTTAATTCCACCCACGGGCACAAACTCTGCCTTGCAATTGCAGTTCATAATTGCTCTCACACAAATCCTATTTCCCATCGGAGGCTACGATCTCTCCGTGAACGACCGCTCCTCTCTTTCTTACGATTCCGCGGCTTAAACAGGTTTCTCAATGGAAATTGAACACAGGGCCTTCCGTCTGCCAATCACATGACTTATGCCTATCGCTGCGTGGTTTCCTCTCCCCGGCCCGGCTCAGCCAATCCCCGCCTCCCTCAGTTTGAATCGGTCCCAGGCGGAGCGGGGTGGCCCCGCCCACTCCATTGATCTGGGTAAGCCTAGGCGGTGTGTGCGGTCCTCAAGCAGGCTCCGCCCCGCGGCCCGCCCCTCCAGGGTCTCCGTCCGGGTCTGTGACTGGCCGTCAGCACGCCCGGGGGCATGGTCACCGAGGCGGCGCGCGGCGGGGCGGGGCTCCCGGAAGCGGCCCCTCCCGCCAGCTTGCCGGCACTTGGGAGCCTGCATTCTCAGTGAGAGAACGCCCGGCGTGACTTCCGCGCTGCTCCCGCCGGCCAGCCGCCCCAGCCCCGCGCCCCTGTCTCGCACCCGATGGTGAGCAGTGTGTTGTGCCGCTGCGTGGCCTCCCCGGCGCCGGACGCCGCCGCCTCGTCGTCAGCCTCGTCGCCGGCTTCTGTGGGGGACCCGTGCGGCGGCGCCGTCTGCGGTGGCCCGGACTACCGGCTGCGCCTGTGGAGCCTCTTCCAGACGCTGGACGTCAACCGCGACGGCGGCCTGTGTGTCAACGACCTGGCCGTGGGGCTGCGGCGTCTGGGACTGCACCGCACCGAGGGCGAGCTCCGGGTAGGCAGTGCGGGCCAGCCACGCGGGCGGGGAGGGAGCCCCTGAGAGGTCCGGGTGACAGGTGCGGGCCGCTGGTGGGTGACAGGTCTGGACGTCCCGGCTTCCGGGGCAGACCCCTGGAGCTTGGCAGGTCGGGGTGGACGGCCCCTTGTGCTGGACGGGATCCCTACTGTTCTGAAGAGTAGTGCCCCCTGACTGACACCCTATTTATGTCCTGGTGGGAGTGGGGCTCCTTTCTGACCTCCAGGTGCTTGGGCCAGTCTCTTCATAGGCATCCTTTGGGCCTTCTAATGGGTGAAAATCTCTTTCCTGCCCGGGCTTCCCCCAAAGTAGAAGGCCAAGTCTCAAGAGTGTGTTTTTATCACCTCCTGACCTCCAGGCCAAGCTGGATGCGCCCCCTACCCCATTGACGGGTTCATCATCATCCATCTCCAGCAGCACCTTCTTTTTCCTCTCGTTTCCATGCCACCCATGGGTCCTGATCTGGTTCGTCTCAGAAGCATGTGGGAGTTGGGGGAAAAAATGGGTATTGGGGTTTCAGGCAGATCTGTGTGGATGTGGGTGGTGAGGACTGACAGTGCTCATGGTTTAGGCTCATACCCATTGCCTTGCTTAGCCAGAAAGTGGGATCACCTGCAGAATTGGAGTGTAGATGGATTTAAAGAATCTGGGACAAAATTCTTTCTGCAAGTGAAAGTGTAGTACACCTAAGAGGGCAGATTGTTACTCTTGTCCTGGAGTGGACCTCTGGCCAAGGTTGGGGGGAAGGAGGCAGAGAAATGGCCATATCTGGACCTGCCAGAAAGAGAAGTGCTGTCCTTTTTGTGTATGCTCGGAGCAATGGCTGTTTCTTCCCTCTCTGTTTCTCGTGGTATGTTGTTCAGTCTGACTTGGTAGCTGTAGCTACCCTTTCCCAGGTATTTCACTTACTGTGGCTTAGCCTAGTTTACAACCTAGATTAGGAATTCTGAGTACTTACCTAGGAACCTGTTTCTCTTCTAAGGTTGTTTGTTTGGTCCATCTGTACATACAATAATTAGAGAATCTCATAGCCAAGTATGAAAAAAATATGGTAAAATGCCAGTAAATTAAATCAAGTGGATGGGTGAGTGGGTGTACGTAAGGTGTTTTTAACTCACGTCTTGGATCAACATCCAGGGTATTTAACCTACTTGTTTAGTTGTCAGCCTAGGAAGACCAAGGGTAACACTATGCAACATGGAATCATTGGGTTAAGTCCAAGAGATTTAGAGACAAGGTTTTCTTTATTGATTGATTTTTTTGAGACAAAGTCTTGCTCCGTTGCCTGGTCTAGAATGCTGTGGCGTCAGCCTAGCTCACAGCAACCTCTAACTCCTGGGCTCAAGCAATTCTTCTGCCTCAGTCTCCTGAGTAGCTGGGACTGACTACAGGCATGCGCCACCATGCCCAGCTAATTTTTTCTATATATTTTTAGTTGTCCAGCTAATTTCTTTATATTTTTAGTAGAGACGGGGTCTCACTCTTTCTCAGGCTGGTCTTGAACTCCTGACCTTGAGCGATCCTCCCGCCTCGGCCTCCCAGAGTGCAAGGATTACAGGCGTGAGCCACCATGCCCTGCCTGAGACACGGTTTTATTTGTGTGTTTTGTTTTGTTTTGGTTTTAATTTTTAAAGTCAGCTTTACCTAAAATGTTGTTGTGAGTTGGAGATTTTCCCATGTCTATCTGATGAATAAGTTGCTTGAAAAGATAGGATGGCTAAACCCAGAGGAACTATGCTTAAGGCTTAGGGAGGTATGGGCCCAGGTGAACCTTCCTGCTTTTATGAACCTTTCCACTTGGCCTGTGCTGCCAGGCACATTAAGAACATCTGGCTGCGGGAGTATATTAAATGTTTACACCATGCTTTGTGCCTCTACTGAAGTCACAGTGTTCTCAAATTCATGGCACATCTGATATAGAGCCTAATCCATTTTTTTGGCAGTGAATTTCTCAGGGCAAATAAGGAGAACGTGATCATTTTTCTTTCTAGTGTTGAAAGAAAGCCTTTTTTTATTAACTAAAGGGAGCCTGGCCCCTTGGGATCACTTTGGCTCTAAAATCTTTCACTCTGTGACTGATCTAAGTTCTATGTTATGGAACAATTCTTTTTTATTCTTTTGGACTCTATTTATTCAGCTCTTTCAACTTTTGAACAAATTGTTATACAGCTTTAGGAGAGATGAGAAATGATTCATTTTATTAATTCATTACCTGTAAAGGAGCACAGTTAGTTCTGTGGGGAGCGTTTTAAGGATTGGAGAGAAAATCTGCCTTTTTATAAATAACTGGGCGACAGGAAGACACCCTGCCTTGTGCACCCCCCTGCCACTTCCTGTTGAATTCGTATCCGTATTAGCTGCCTACAGAAAGAGCAGTGCTGCGGTTTTACACCATTAGCAGGAGCCAAAAGAGAACTTGGGGGTCCTTTGGTTCAAAACAGGTCATGTGCCATGGGAATAGGCATTAAAAACACATCAAACTTTAGAAGCTGCTTCATGTGAAACCAGCCTGAGATGCTGTGGTTTGCAAAGGAATCAGCTGTGAGTGCTTGTCAGTGGGTAATGGGTGAACCCAGGCCTTGGGACTCCACAAAGCCTTTTGTTAGCTTGTAACAGCCTGGGTAAAGTTTTCTTTAAAAATAAACCAACAGATTTTGCCATCTGCCTTTGTTTGAGAAGAGATGGGGACACTCAGAGAAAAATTACTTAAAATGGAAGTAGGCAGAGAAACCCATGGCAGCCAGCCAGGGAGATTTTCTTTGTAAAGGGCATGTAGGCAAGAAGCTCGTCCTGGGACAAAAGAAGGGAAGGATTTATCAAAGAACAAAGATGACAACATAGTGACTTTGGGAGATGATACTCAGCCAGAGCTAATTATAGCATTGTCTATTTAAGGCATTTTCATGTGACCAAACAAAATCTGTGTCTTAAAACAAATTTAAAACATAGGTTAGAACTCAGGCAGCCAATTAGAGGAAGAAAGCAAGCTGTGTTACATGTATACAATTTTCTCTTTGGCTGAGGCTTGTGGGTTCTCATTAGGGGCTGGTGTTTAAGGCAGGTGAGGATTCTAGACGATGCTGCAGTCAGCTGATTTACAGACTGGCAAGCACACCATCTAGTTTGAGCCCCACGATAACTTGTGAAGCAGGCAAGTCAGCAAAATGGTTTCACCCCATTTTACAAGGGAAGCACCAGTGGTTCAAAAAGACAATGAAACGGCCTCAAAAATCATTTCACCGCAGGGGAATTGGACCAGAGAAGGAATTGGAACCATCTTCTGATTCCTACTCCTGTCCTCTTTAACTCCTCAGTTGTCTCTGAAGAACATGAAGAGAGTTCCAAACCTGGGCTTTCGGGAGAACTTGAGAAAGGGGAGAGAGATCCATTTAGAACCATAGCTTTTGTTCTCAGCGTATAGGTTTCAAGATTATCCATGGTTTACCCTGCCAGACAGAGAACAAGAATCCACCCTGCCCTATTTCTCTCCCTGACCAGAGCAATAGACATAATAAGGCAATCCTTGTTGACTTGAAATAATTGAATGGAGGATCAGTAATGTCAAGTTAGTATTGCTTACTCAGATACACTGTCGACTCTATACCTTTAAATGTTTGGACGTTTGTGGGGTAGATGTTTACCAATATAGC